GATGGGGTACATACACTGACATACACTTCGTATTGCGAAAAAAATTTGTAAAAACTCTTAAACCGAGGCATTATTTTCAATGGATTTTCAATCGTAAACCGAAAATTACGTTAACCGAGGCATTCGTAAACCGAGGTATTATATATATATATATATTGGCAGTGCGGTATCCTGCCACGGTGGAAATTACGGTGGTGACCCAGGATTCTCGGCTATACAGGTTGAGGGGCTCCAGGCAGTTCTCGTAATGCAGAGTTTGGTTTGTAAAGCATGTTTTGGGACCTGTGGCCTGGAGATTTCTAAGAGATTTGGGAGGGATGAAATCTCCAATCCTGGGGCCATGTTTTGAGAGCAGCCAGCACACTGATTGCGCATGTGTGTGCAGCCCTTTTTGTAGAGGCCCAAACCATGATTCTGGGCTCCACCCCGGCAGACAGGAGGTCTCTGCCTTGGAGTCAGGAGGGCTGCACCTAGGAGAGGTGGAAGCCAGACTAGCTGTGTGTGAAAAAGCCAGGTTTGGAAAGAGTCTGCAGGAGACAGACGTAAGCCTGAAGTGGAAGGCCAGACGATAATTGTATGTACAAGCCAGAAGGCTGAATATTTATTTGATGGTGGATACCCCTGCGTGGGAAACTTTATATGGAACTTTTTATTTAAATAAAAGTGGGCTAAAACGGCCCCTAAAAAGAAAGCGAGTTGCTGTGTGCGTTAAAAAAGCTCTACCATTTGAAAAGAGTTCCCACAATCTATATACAGTCATGGCCGAAATTGTTGGCACCCTTGATATTTTTCCTGAAAATCAAGTATTTCACACAAAAAAGGTATTGCATTAACACATGTTTTGCTATACACATGTTTATTCCCTTTGTATGTATTGGAACAAATATAAAACAGAGGCAGAAAAGCAAATATGACATAATGTCACACAAAAACCCCAAAAATGGGCTGGACAAAAGTATTGGCACCCTTAACTTAATATTTGGTTGCACACCCTTTGGAAAACATAACTGAAATCAGTCGCTTCCTATAACCATCAATAAGCTTCTGACACCTCTCACCCGGAATTTTGGACCACTCTTCCTTTGCAAACAGCTCCAGGTCTCTCTTATTGGAAGGACACCCTTTTCCCAACAGCAATTTTAAGATCTCTCCACAGGTGTTCAATGGGATTTAGATCTGGGCTCATTGCTGGCCACTTCAGAACTCTCCAGCGCTTCTTTGCCATCCATTTCTGAGTGCTTTTTGACGTATGTTTGGGGTCATTGTCCTGCTGGAAGACCCAGGATCTTGGACGCAAACCCAGCTTTCTGACACTGGGCCCTACAGTGCGACCCAAAATCCTTTGAATCCTCAGATTTCATGATGCCTTGCACACAGTCAAGGCACCCAGTGCCAGAGGCAGCAAAACAACCCCAAAACATCATTGAACCTCCACCATATTTTACCGTAGGTACTGTGTTTTGTTCTTTGTAGGCCTCATTCCGTTTTCGGTAAACAGTAGAATGATGTGCTTTACCGAAAAGCTCTATCTTGGTCTCATCTGTCCACAAGACGTTTTCCCAGAAGGCTTTTGGCTTACTCAAGTACATTTTGGCAAACTGTAGTCTTGCTTTTTTATGTCTCTGTGTCAGCAGTGGGGTCCTCCTGGGTCTCCTGCCATAGCGTTTCATTTCATTTAAATGTCGACGGATAGTTCGCGCTGACACTGATGCTCCCTGAGCCTGCAGGACAGCTTGAATGTCTTTGGAACATGTTTGGGGCTGCTTATCCACCATCCGGACTATTCTGCGTTGCAATCTTTCATCAATTTTCCTCATCCGTCCACGACCAGGGAGATTAGCTACAGTGCCATGGGTTGCAAACTTCTTGATAATGTTGCGCACTGTGGACAAAGGCAAATCTAGTTCTCTGGAGATGGACTTGTAACCTTGAGATTGTTGATATTTTGCCACAATTTTGGTTCTCAGGTCCTCAGACAGTTCTCGTCTCCTCTTTCTGTTGTCCATGCTTAGTGTGGCACAGACAGACACACAATGCAAAGGTTAAGTGAACGTCTCTCCTTTTTATCTGCTTTCAGGTGTGATTTCTATATTGCCCACACCTGTTACTTGCCCCAGGTGAGTTTACAGGAGCATCACATGCTTGTAACATTCTTATTTATCCGCAGTTGTGAAAGGGTGCCAATACTTTTGTCCAGCCCATTTTTGGAGGTTTGTGTGACATTATGTCGAATTTGCTTTCTTTCCTCCCTTTTTTTGTTTTGTCCCAATACACACAAAGGGAATAAACATGTGTATAGCAAAACATGTGTTAATGCAATACGTTTCGTGAGAAATACATGATTTCCTGGAGAAATATCAAGGGTGCCAACAATTTCGGCCATGACTGTATGTATATCAACTGTGAATGTTAAAAATCCCCAATCATTCAGTGCACTTTAAACAATAATAGTAACACATTTGTTTTTTTTTTTTAATATACAAAATATTAGCACTAAATAGCTTACATTTCAACTCTTATAAAGTGGTCACATGATCACTACTCAATCTTCCTTCCAGAGCAGGGGGCAGGGGCTTGTTAAGATGGCTGGGGCAGCTTCCACCAGCATTTCAACAGGATAAAAGCTCCTTTTGTCCATGAAAAGGGTTGTATACGGCAGGGCTGGAAAAGGGACTGGTCACCACTGATTGGCAGGGGGCGTGAATCCACTGATTGGCGTCAGTGCCATCAGGGAAATATGTTTCCTCTCTATGTAGGATGTATCAAAGCAGGGATGGAAAGAAGGTGCGGCATCAAAGCGGACTATGGGACCACAGGCACGCCATGAATCAGCACAGCATCCTGTAGCGTCAATCAGCAAACGGATTGGACACAAACTGACCACACCAACACACATCTGGGCGTGTACTGGCACAAAAATGACCATTTACAAGTTAATTTAATGATGTTGCAGTTTTAAGGGTAATATATACTTTAAGGGCTTATTCATACTGGTCACGTCTGTTGCAAGGTCTATGTGTGTTGTATTGTCATTTTATTGAGCTGACAACAAACAAAAAATTGTATCTGCTGCAGTTTTTGTGTATCCCAGTGTAATGCAACACATTGAATGGCACCACAACAATACATTATCACAACCCAAAACCCAATGATGGCTCAGATTTACTGGGTAGCTGAAAACCCCTAGTGTGTGTCTGTACTGCCTATACCATGTGCACCTTTCCTGAAGACCCTCACTATGTGCTTGTACTGCCTGAGCCTATGTGCACCTTTCCGAAAAGACCCCCCAGTGTGTGTCTGTACTGCCTGAGCCCATGTGCACCTTTCTTGAAGACCCCCAGTGTGTGTCTGTGCTACCTGAGCCCATGTGCACCTTTCTTGAAGACCCCCAGTGTGTGTCTGTACTTTCTGAGCCCATGTGCATCTTTCCTGAAGACCCTCAGTATGTGCTTGTACTGCCTGAGCCCATGTGCACCTTTCTTGAAGACCCCCAGTGTGTGTCTGTACTTTCTGAGCCCATGTGCATCTTTCCTGAGGACCCACTGTGTGTGTCTGTACTGCCTGAGCCCATGTGCACCCTTCCTAAAGACCCCCAGTGTGTGTGTACTTCCTGAGCCCATGTACATCTTTCCTGAGGACCCCCTAATGTATGTCTGTACTGCCTAAGCCCATGTGCACCTTTCCTGAGGACCCCCTAGTGTATGTCTGTACTGCCTAAGCCCATGTGCACCTTTCCTGAGGACCCCCTAGTGTATGTCTGTACTGCCTGAGCCCAAGTGTACCTTTCCTGAGGACCCCCTAGTGTATGTCTGTACTGCCTGAGCCCATGTGTAACGTTCCTGAGGACCCCATAGTGTGTGTCTGTACTTCCTGTGCCCATGTGCACCTTTCTTGAAGACTCCCAGTGTGTGCCTGTACTTCCTGAGCCCATGTGCACCTTTCTTGAAGGCCCCCAGTGTGTGTCTGTACTTTCTGAGCCCATGTGCACCTTTCCCGAGGACCCCATAGTGTGTGTCTGTACTTTCTGAGCCCATGTGCACCTTTCTTGAAGAACCCCAGTGTGTGACTGTACTTTCTGAGCCCATGTGAATCTTCCCTAAGGACCCACTGTGTGTGTCTGTACTGCCTGAGCCCATGTGCACCTTTCCTGAGGACCCCCTGTGTGTGTGTGTCTGTACTGCCTGAGGCAATGTGCACCTTTCCAAAAGACCCCCAATCTGTGTCTGTACTGCCGGATGGTAGGGTTTGGTGCAGACACATCCTGTTTGGCTTACGGCTGCCTTGGATGACACTGGAGTATTGGTGTATAGCTAATAAATTGATGTCCCCTACCACTACCTGCCTTTCTTTACTCCCCCCCCCTCCACTTGTCGCTGGATAATAGAGCCTACATCTCACAGGGACACCGAACCACATATGTGCCGTGAGTCACACAAGATCTGCACCGCCTGAAAGACCCCCATTTCTCTCAAACCTGCACCAGAAAATTAATTCTTTCATCTGGTTAGTTGCTGAGGGACAACACAGACAGTTCTCGCATGAGCCAGGCTACACATTGAACTGCCATAAAGATAGAAAGCGTACACAAGGACCAAACACTCAGCACGGTAAAGAAGTGACACATAGGGGTTGATTTACTAAATCTGGAGAGTGCAAAATCTATGCAGCTGTGCACAGAAGCCAATCAGATTCAATTTTTTTTTGTTAAAGATTAATTGAACAAGCTGACGTTAGAAACTGATTGGCTCCCATGCACAGCTACACCAGATTTTGCACTTTCCCAGGGGCAGACTGGCCATTTGGAAACTCGGGCACTGCCTGGGGTCAGTAGGGGGCCCCATGAGATGCCTCTGGTACCTTTTTCACAGGCTTTTTTGAGTTTGGGCAAGGACACAGAGGCCCCATGATACCCTACTGCTCGGGGGCCCCATGCGTTGTCAGTCCGCCCCTGCATTTTCCAGTTTTAGTAAATCAACCCCAATGCGTGACAATGACAGTACCTGAGAATCCGGAGTCCTTGTCAGATTCTAGAGCAGTCTGGAGATTTCCAGGCCTGTGGCAGGTCCGTGCTTGTTGCTTTTCCTGAGCAGCCATGCCAAACTGCTTCTTCTCCATGCTTGCTCATTGACTCCCTGTGGAGAGAAGAAAAATATGTGTTCACTGGATATTAATAATACCACCATGGATCTTATAGGGAATAGGGAAATGCTTTCCACATTTCCAGGCATCTGCATCTCTGTGATATGTAATATAAATCAAACGCAGTGCAATGTAATAATCAAACTCGCCGATATAAGGACAAATAATATTCATGCTGAGGAGTTCAGTGACAACTGTGATGGGAGCAATCAGGTGTAACCACGACCGATATCTACCATGTGTCACCATCACTAACACCCTCCCATCAAGTGTCACCATCACCAATGAGCCCCTATCAGATAATTGACCATCAGGTGTCCCCACCATGGATACCCTCATGTCACATATCACCACCAAAGTTACCAGCTCATCACATTTCATCACTGTCAATAACAGCCCAGCAGATGTTAACAACCACCACAGATACCTACCCAGTGGGTGGCAGCACCACTGATACCCGGTCATCATGTGTTAAAACTGCCAATACCTGCCCATCAAATGTAGCCAATGCAAATACCTTCCCATCATGTGTCACTATCACCGGTACCCACTCCATGTCACCAGTGCTGATACACTTCCATTAGGTGTCACCACTGCTGATAACTACTCATTGTGTGCCACCACCACCAATCCTCACCCAGTAAGTATTGACACCACTAATGATAATCGACCGTCGGGTGTCACCACTGTGGATACTCTCCCTTCACGTCACCACTGAAGACATTAGCTCATCACATTTCACCACCGCCGGAACCTACCCATCATATTTCGTCAGCCACCACAGATACCGACTCATCAAATGTTATCATGTGTCAAAACTGCCAATACTCAGTTTCACCACTGCGAATACCTTCCCATCACATGTCACTACCACCTATACCCACTCATCACATGTCACCACCACCAATATGTACTGATCTGATTTCATCACTGTTGATATCCTCCTGTTAGGTGTCACCACTGCCAATACCTGCTAATCATGTGTCACCACCAGAGATAATCAAGCATTAGGTGTCACCACCATGCATACCCTTCCATCAGATGTCACCAGTGAAGATACCAGCTAGTCACATTTCACCACCATCGATATCTGCCTATCAGATGTTGCCAATACCTTCCCATCAAGTGTCACTACCACCAATACCCACTCATCACGTCACCACTGCGATATCTGCCTATCAAATGTCACCACCGCTGATACCCTCCCATTAGGTGGCACCACTGCCAATCCTCGCCAGTCAGATGTGGTCACCACCACGTCACTACCATGGATACCCACTTGTCGCATGTCACCACCACTGATATCTGCCTATAAAATGTCACCACTGCCGATACCCACTCATAAGGTGCCACCACCACTGATACCCGGTCATCACGTGTTAAAATTGCCACCACCATGGATACCCTCCCATCCGTTGGCACCACTACCAATACTTGTTTATCACGTGTCACCACTGTCAATCCTCACCAGTCAGATGTCTTCACCACCACAGATACCCAGTCATCATGTATTAAAATTGCCAATACTTTTCCATCACATGTCAACACTGCCAATACCTTCCCATCACATGTCACTACTGCTGATACCCGCTCATCAGGTGTCACCACCACCATTCCTTGCCCATCAGGTGTCACCACTGCTGATACCTTCCCATCACATCACTACTGCTGATACCCGCTCATCAGGTGTCACCACCACCATTCTTTGCCCATCAGGTGTCACCACTGCTGATACCTTCCCATCACTACCGCTGAAACCCGCTCATCAGGTATCACCACCACCATTCCTCACCCATCAGGTGTCACCACTGCTAATACCTTCCCATCACATCACAACTGCTGATACCCGCTCATCAGGTGCCAGCACCACCGATAGCTTCCCATCACTACCGCTGAAACCCGCTCATCAGGTGTCACCACCACCGTTCCTCACCCATCAGGTGTCACCACTGTTGATACTTCCCATCACATCACTACTGCTGATACCCACTCATCAGGTGTCACCACCACCGTTCCTTGCCCATCAGGTGTCACCACTGTTGATACTTCCCATTACATCACTACCGCTGAAACCCGCTCATCAGGTGTCACCACCGTTCTTTGCCCATCAGGTGTCACCACCACCGTTCTTTGCCCATCAGGTGTCACCACTGCGCATACCTTCCCATCACTACCGCTGAAACCCCGCTCATCAGGTGTCACCACCACCATTCCTCGCCCATCAGGTGTCACCACTACGGATACCTTCCCATCACTACCGCTGAAACCCGCTCATCAGGTGTCACCACCACCATTACTCGCCCATCAGGTGTCACCACTGCGGATACCTTCCCATCACTACCGTTGAAACCAGCTCATCAGGTGTCACCACCACCATTACTCGCCCATCAGGTGTCACCACTGCTGATACCTTCCCATCACAACTGCTGATACCCGCTCATCAGGTGTCACCACCACCATTCCTCGCCCATCAGGTGTCACCACTGCGGATACCTTCCCATCACTACCGCTGAAACCCGCTCATCAGGTGTCACCACCACCATTCCTTGCCCATCAGGTGTCTCCATTACCATTCCTCACCCATCAGGTGTCACCACTGCTGATACCTTCCCCTCACAACTGCTGATACCCGCTCATCAGGTGTCACCACCACTGATACCTTTCCATCACTACCGCTGACATCCGCTCATCAGGTGTCACCACACCACCATTCCTCGCCCATCAGGTGTCACCACTGCGGATACCTTCCCATCACTACCATTGAAACCAGCTCATCAAGTGTCACCACTAACATTCCTCGCCCATCAGGTGTCACCACTGCTGATACCTTCCCATCACAACTGCTGATACCCGCTCATCAGGTGTCACCACCACCATTCCTCGCCCATCAGGTGTCACCACTACCATTCCTCGCCCATCAGGTGTCACCACTGCTGATACCTTCCCCTCACAACTGCTGATACCCGCTCATCAGGTGTCACCACCACCATTCCTCGCCCATCAGGTGTCACCACTGCTAATACCTTCCCATCACAACTGCTGATACCCGCTCATCAGGTGTCACCACCACCATTCCTCGCCCATCAGGTGTCACCACTGAGGATACCTTCCCATCACTACCGCTGAAACCCGCTCATCAGGTGTCACCACCACCATTCCTCGCCCATCAGGTGTCACCACTGCTGATACCTTCCCCTCACAACTGCTGATACCCGCTCATCAGGTGTCACCACCACCGATACCTTTCCATCACTACCGCTGATATCCGCTCATCAGGTGTCACCACAGCCAATATTGTCTATCAGGTGTCACCATCACTAATACCCACGCACATCGGGTGTCACCACCTCTGACATCTGCTCATGAAGTCTCACCCCACCATTATATTTCCTGTGAAGGGCTCACACCTGCGTTACCCGACCCACCATGTCACACACATTATAATGATTAATATAGGTGGAGTATCCTGTAAAATTATATAAATTTAATATCACTAATGGGGACCCCCCCCCCCCAGTCACACACTGCTATTACCCCCCCCCCCCCCCCCTAACATTTATCTCTAATATTAACACAGCTCCATAGTAGAAATAATAATGGAGCCCCTCCCCCAGACATGGTAATAACCCCGCCCCCATTCTCCTCTCACTATAACAACACAGGATCAGCCAAACCATCGCTAATACCGCCCAGGGGGTCACCCCGCCATTCTAATAATAATAATAGAGGCCCCTCCCTCTAATAATAATTCCAGTAATGGTAAAACTCCCCCGGTCCCCTCACATAATAATAATAATTTCTGTCATTTATGGTCGTTACCCCTCTCCCCCGTTGGGGCCCCCGAGGCCCCGGACACCTCACTGTCAGTCAGGCTCTCCGGCGCTCTGTAGGCCGCACTGACCAAGGCGGGTCACCATGACAACCGGACACGTGACCTCACCAGAGACTCCCCGCTCCCGCCGCCATGTTGGATGTCCTACGTGAGGAGAGCGGCAGGTTTGTGTCTGACTGAGCTAAACGCCCTCAACTGACCTGCCTGATAACCGAAACCAACCGAATTACGGACACCATACCTTCCGTATAGTCCCCGCACCGCCCGAGTCACCCCGCCACTCCGGACACAGCGGCCGGCGCCATCTTGGTGGGGGCAGAGTGAGGGGCCTCAGTGGTGGGTCAGCCTTGAGGTGTCAGATATCAGTCACCTGGTGAGAGCAGCTGTGAGGGAAGGAATGGGGGGGGGGGGCTTTTTTCATGCAGCCTGTTCATTCTGTTTGGATACAGCGGCATGGCAGGCTGTTGCCCCCTTCCCCTCATGGATGTGTGGAGAATGCCTGGACATAAAGGCTCAGTCCAATACATCTTACCACATACATGGGGGGGGGGACACCAACCCAATACACCACATCCAGTACTGTGCAAAAGTTATAGGCAGGTGTGAAGAAATGCTGTAAATTAACCCCTTGCAGACTGGGCCTCTTCTGACACTTCTACATGTAAAAATCTCGTAAATTACAACCCATAGCCCGGGTTCACATATGTGTGGTGCACTGCATTCCTTTGCAAATCACATGCGATTTATGAGGTGTGATCAATTCGCACCGCACCAAAAACATGCAGGACACTTTTTTGGGTTGACACTAGAATCGTATCGCATAGGTATCCACACCTATGCGACCCGATTCTGCACATCGCACCGCGTTTTGCGGACCGCTTTTTGGGGTGTTGTTAACATACACACCTGCAGTGGTTCGCATGAACGGGGTGCGATTCTGATGCGGTGGGGAATTTGCACAGAAAAGCTGTGAATTCCGCACCGCATCAGTGTGAACCCGGGCTCTAACATTATATACGGGATGGACACACATATGGAAATACTACATGATTTGCAGGTGTGAAAGTGACATCATGTTTTGTGGTGGAAGTGATGTAACACTCTTGCTTCTGCTGTGTGATGAGACACCTAGCTAACAGGTGGG